ATCAAGTTATTAAGGAAAAGGTAATTGATGCAGACAAGTAAAAGCAAGTATTATTGAAGGGCAAGGTATGTGGGATGTTATGTGACTTGCCAACAAGTAAAAGCAGAACATCAGAAGCCAGCTGGAATGTTACAACCATTACAAATCCCTGATTAGAAGTGGGAATTCATCACAATGGAATTTGTCACGGATTTTCCCAAGTCACCGAGAGGACACAATGGAATTTGGGTCATAGTTGATAGACTCACGAAGTCGGCTCATTTTCTATTGGTGAAGATGAACTCAACCATCGACTATTTCGCTCAGCTATATATGGAGTGGATAGTCCGACTACATAGAGTTCCAAAGATGATTGTATCGGATTGAGACCATCGATTCACCTATCGTCTATGGAAAAGGTTGCAATTGGAACTCGGTACTCAATTGGATATGAGTACGGCTTATCATCCTCAGTATAATGGGCAGTCTAAGAGAGTAATTAAAATTCTTGAGGATATGTTAAGAGCATGTGTACTAGACTTGGGTGATAAGTGGAGTGAGCATCTCCCACTTGCAGAGTTTGTATACGATAAGAGTTATTAGAGTAGCATCATAATGGCATTGTACGAAGCACTTTATGCGAGACCGTGCTAATCACCGATGTGTAGGGCCGACACCGAGGATTAACTTGTGCTAGGCCCAAACCTTATCAAGGAGGCAACTGAGAAAGTCAGAGTTATCAAAGAACGACTACGAGCTGCTCAAAGTCAACAGAAGTTGTATGTGGACAAGAAGAGACTTCCCTTTGAGTTCAGTATTAGGGACCTTGTATTTCTGAAGGTTAGCCCACAAAAAAGAATCCAAAGATTTGGCGTATGAGGCAAGCTGGCCCTAAGGTATGTTGAACCGTTCAAAGTAATTGAACGTGTCAGAATTGTTGAATACAAATTAGAGTTTTTGCCTCAATTGTCCTACGTACACAGTGTTTTTCATGTTTCCCAGTTGAAGAAAAGTGTACCTGATCTCCTATAAATCATGCCATGGGTCGACTTGTCTCTGCAGCAAGATGTGACCTATGAGGAAGGTCCCGCGAGCATTTTGGCTTACGAGACAAAATGACTCCAAAATTGAAACGTGCTACTAGTGAAGGTTAAGTGGCAACATCATGGGGTCGAGGAAGCAACTTGGGAACTAGAGTCTGATATGAGAAGAAAGTATCATGTAAAATCCTATATCGACTAACGGAGATTGGGTGATGTGCCTTGTATGTACAAGCCTGCCTCCATCTAGTACGAGGCCTTTTGGGAGTTCACTGGCTTCGGAGTCATAGAACTCCAAAGTTAAGCGAGTTAGGGCTAGAGCAATTCCAAGATGGGTACTGAGAAGTTGCTCTTGAGTTTCCATAAACAAAACCGTGAGGGCAGAGAGGGGGGCCCAAAGCAGACAATATCGTGCTACGGCGGAACCGATCCCAGCATGTGACATATCCACACTTGTTTGAGTAAGGAAATGTGTCTTGTAAATCCCAACGACAAGATTTCTTTTAAGAGGGGTGGATTGTGAGCCTTGAGAAAATCTTTGTAATTTTAGAAGTTCTCGCAAGTGTATAAATGAGATTTTTTGGTAAATATTTGAAGAATTTGGGACAGGTAAAGGCAATAGAAAAATAGTAGAGGTGAAGACGAGTCCGTAGGAAGTTTCAGGGAATTCTTCGAAGCTTGGAGCTATTTTTGGTGGATTTTAGAAGTTCTGGAAAATAAAAAAAATTGGAAAAGAAAAAGTAATGCGTGGCGCATTTTGGAGAGTCGATGGCGAGCTGACGTAGCTGATCGAACTGACGAGAGGCGCTGACAGGAGACTAACAATGGCTGACGTGGCGAGGCATGATTGGTTTGCCTGCTGCTAACGTGGTCGTTGGCAATTTGATTCCAACTGTAAATCGGACGCTAGACCATCCGTAGCGTGCTACATGTCGTTGCCATTGAACTTGTTGTACGATATTAAAAACTTGTTGTACAATATTAAAAACATCTGTAGCATGCTCCATCAAGATTTTTGGTGAAGATCCAACGTTCCACAACACACCGCCCATTTCCTTTGATCTCAGCCTTCCATTGTTTGTCCGAATTTTATATTTATTCAATCCTAACCATCTATTTTCCTCCTCCTTGCCTATAAATAACCCCCAACACTTTCATCTTCAGACTCCCATTTTGATTTGGGAGCCTCTCACTCCTCCTTAAGTTATTATTTCTATCTCTCTCTAGTTTTATTTAATTTAGTTTTAATTAGTTTTAATTATTTGTTTAGTTACTTTATTAATTTATTTAGTCTTAATTCTTGTTCTAGTTTAATTAAGTAGTTTTAGTTAGTTAATTTAATTATTTCGAATTTAATTTATAATTTAGTTAAATGATTGGTAATTTCCTAATTTGTTTAAATACTTTAATTTTGTTTAAATTAGTTTAATTTGGTATCCAAATAATAGTTTAGACTTATTTAATTACTTTAATTAGTTCCAATTAACTAATTTAATTAATTTCCAATTTAGTTAATTAATTTAATAAATTACTAAATTTGTTTAATTTGTTATTAAAATTGTTTTGTATTAAAAAATTAACATTTATTTATTTTCAAAAATTACTTTTAAATTAATAATTAATAATTTTGAAATTACTTGAACTTTTGGAAATTTCTTTTAATTACTTAAAAATTATTTTGAACTTTTGAAAAATGTTTTCCAAGTCCAGAACCTAAACCCTAACTTTTGGTCCTTGTCCAAATTTATTTCGAACCTATTTCGAGACCTTAAACCCTAACCCTAATTCAATTTCTAGGGTAGGAAGCACGTTTATACGACTTAGGGTTTTCGACTCTGGGTTCCGGCCTCAACCTAGGGTTAACGGAATGAAAACGGACATAACCCTAACTAGTGACGTTTGTCCCTAAGACATGTTTTAACTTGTTACTTGTTGTTCAGTTAGGAGCTCGAGTAGCCGAACGCGAACATAACGATGGTTGAGCTAGGTGCTTGTGTTGGCTAAGATGTGGACTCCAGGTAGGGGGACTCACTCCCGGTCTTGTGTTTTCGTGCTTGTACTACTATATTAAATATTGATCTGTGATGAAACTGCATAGTTCGTGATTGGCATTGATGTATGGCGTTGATATTCTTTTGGGCACCGACCTTTGGTGTTGACGATGTTCTGACTAGGATGACCTGAGAGTGAAGGGTCATGTACTAATGACCTTAGGTTTCGATACCTTGAACCTCTGGAGGGGTTACAGGGACCGGCTAGTCCAAGGCCCTTAAATAGCTTAGGATAGCCTACAGGGTGTAGCCATTGAAATGGACACTCTCGCTACTTTACCCTGCGTGGTAAGAGTGGCCTAATGGATCGATCATCACATGAAGTTACTGGGATCCCAAAATATTGTTTATGAAAAGCTGTGTGAGCAAGCCAAGTGTTTCAAACTGATAATCTGATAATTGTTTTTATGTGCATTGGTTTTAATGCTTTGGTGTACGATATTAAAAAGAATAACATTAACTTAATCACTTTTTAAAACATGGCTGGGGTGCCCCTACTGGGTAAATGATCATACGTAATGCTTACCACTACTTTTGGTGTAGATTACGATCAGGTCGACAACCTAGACGTTGACTAGGTTCGTGGCTCGGCATCTGAAACTTGTCATTTCTTCCTGTGCTACACGTTATTTGCAGGTCAAGAAACTCATCTTTTGTAATCTTGTAAAATATGTTGTAACTGGGTTTTGTGTACCCTTTAAACACTCTTGGCTTGTACTCTTTGTCTAGGGTTAAGTTTGAACTCCTCATATTTTGTATCTTCGGAACTTGGTTACTTGGATACTCAAACCCTTGTAACCGTTGGGGTTGGTACTTATGTAAATATTTTGTAGTTATATTTTAGTTTGTAAATTTCCGCTGTCATTGAAATACTCTGATCGTACCATCACCAAAAAGGGCTTAACGTATTTTGAGAACACTTGGGAGTATGACACTCAGGGGGGTGAGTGTTGTATTCTTGGGATTCTTGAGGCACGTGCTACTATCACGTGACCAAGCCATCGGGGCGTGACACCCCATGCACCGGTGTGTGTGTGTGTGTGAGAAAACCCCTACCCCTTTATAACATACCCAAAAAAAACCATAGCATTGTTAGGTGTTAGTAGTAAATTGATGGGATGGATTAATTTTACAAATATAGAAGGGGACCTGAAAGCCTACCACCCACCCCTCTTCCTTCTCTCTCTCTCTCTTTTCTCATCTCTCATCAACACCAGCAAAATTTGAAATTTCTGGGTTTAAGCAATTTGGTAACCAAACCGTATAAATAGGTTGTAAATAAAGGGAGCAGCTTTGGCTATCATCAATAGGATTGAGGATCGCCCTCTTTCTAAAGACTCAAGGAACAAGTTGGCACTTTGGCGGCACTCAAAGAGAGCATCAAAGTGAAGCTAGATATTAACTAATGGTTAGTTTGATAACCATTTCACTACGGACGGACTGTCCTGATGACTAACATGGCTTCAAAATTCTTAAGTCTAGAAGAGTTCAATAGAAAACCCACCACCGTGACTTAATTTGGATTCAAAACTCCTCAATTATGCTTAGAATTCCACATTTTCTTTTCTTTTTAATTTTTCTTTTTATAAAAACGCAATAGAATTTTATTAGATCAATGGGAAACATAGATTACAAATGACACAAACTGTAAAGAGAGTCATCACAATAGCAATATAGGAGACATAGATAAAAACTTCCCCAATGACCTGAACCAGCCAAGAAGCTAATTCCCCAATTTCTTGCAATCGGTGACAAGTTATCATTTCTTAAATGAAAAATTATAATCTAGCCCCACTGCTACCGAGAATAAAACGTTGCTCTCAAGTGTCTAAAAAAGAAAAGTAAAAGACAGAGGAAAGGTTTGCCCCTAAATATATAGAAGGCTATACTAAAAAAACCATACCCTTATGGGCATTCAATAACATTATGATCAAGCTGTTCTTATGTGTTGAAGTTGCCGGAAATGCATCTGGGCCGTTACATTACTTGGATCAGAAGCAACAACAGAATTTTGATCCTCACCTTTCTTCATGTTTTCTCCGGAGATTGAAAGCTTGTCTGAAATAGAAGAAAAAAAGAGATGAACAAGAGAGCCCACAAGGGGAAGAGATGAGCATATGATTGCAGCCTGTCTGATGATGTTCATAGCTTATGATTAAAAATAAAAATGGCTTGCTCTGGTTTTCTGGACTTGGATCAAACAATAGCTCAATTTGGAGATTGTTATGTTGTGTATTGGGTAATTTATAATGGAGAGTGGAGTGGAGGACAGTTGTGGCTTTTAAAAGTCGATGGACATTTCAACGAACGTGATGATCAAGCTAGCCACTCTAGTTGACCATTACACTGAAGAAATAATGCAATGTAATAACAGGTCACCCCCATGCAAATTGCAATACGGAGCTTCAATTGGTGACGGCATGTTAGCCACCTGTTAGCCTTTCCATGTGTCATTCATTTTTGCTGCGTAATTACATGGTGGTTTCAGTGGTCATTTAGCTGAAAATGATGTCGCATGTCCAGCATCAATCTGTTATTAGAATATAAATTATAAGAATGTCATATTTAATTTCATATTTAAATTCATCCATTAAAAGTGGAGTAATATAATGGCTTAAAAATTGTATTTAAAATTTGTGTATAAAATATGATGTCACATATTTGCCCTCTTAAGTTGAGGTAGGGATCCCCTTGTCGGGCCCATTCATATTGTATTGTCATAATCTAAACCATCTATTTTTAAAATCTCAAAGATCATCTCTA